GAGGTGACTATTTCAAGGTCAAGGTTTCTGTATTGTCATTTTCTTCATATGTGGTGGAATGAAATTATTTACACAGGGTTCCAGTTACATCCTACAAAAGTATAAATTGTAAAGAAAACAATAATAAGATCTAAGATATGAACTAAGAAATACACTAAACACTAGTACAAAAGCAATACGCTGAACAGCAGCACGAACATGAGTCTGTGTGAGCAGATGAGTACGAATGAACACGGCAGCTAGAAATAAATCAGCAGCATGAGATCAGCAGCAACACAAATCAACAATCAAGTCGCATTACAGTGATTTTTTTTTCACCGTGATTATTGATCACGGTGAAAGTCATTAAGCTACACTTAATGATCCTCAACCTCCTTCCTGAGGGGAGTGGGACAAAAAGTATGTGTGCTGGGTGAGTGTGGTCCTTCATGATGCAGATGGCCCTCTTCCTGCATCTGGAGGTGTAGATGTCTGTGATGGTGGGGAGGCTGACTCCAACATCTTCTGTGCAGCCTTCACCACTCTCTGCTAAACTTTTCTTTCTTTCTTTGTGAGCAGCAGTATGGTTTCATGTCAAGAAAAAGCACAACAGATGCCATCTTAGATTTGAGGATGCTGATGGAGAAGTACAGAGAGGGCCAGGAAGAACTCCATTGTCTCTGTGGATTTAGAAAAAGCATATGACAGAGGGCTGAAGGAGGAGATGTGGTGAGACAAGACAGAGAGACAAGGATGGAGAAGATTAGGAATGAGATGATTAGAGGTACAGCACAGGTTGAACAACTGGGAGATAAAGTTAGAGAGGACACACTGAGATGGTTTGGACATGTCCAGAGGACAGACAGTGGTTTGGACTTGTCCAGAGGACAGAAAGTGGTTTGGACATGTCCAGAGGAGGGACAGTGGGCATATTTGTAGAAGGATGTTAGAAATGCAGCTTCCATGAAAAAGACAGAGGAGACATATGGATGCAGTTAGAGAGGACATGGAGGTAGATGGAATGAGGACAGAGGACAGAGTGAGATGGAGGAGGACTCACTGTGGAGACCCTGAAGAGGGAAAAGCCAAAAGAAGAAGATATAAAAAAGCATATCAATGTAATGTAATTAGAAGAAACTAAATAAAAAACACAGGAAAAACATAAAAAAACGAGACAAAAACATCTACATTGTAAAGCAATATAAAATACTAATGTAACTCAGACAAATATGTTAGTGCATTGATTAAATTCATAAAATATGTTACGGTTTAAAGAAAATTAAACAAACTTTAAGTTAAATAGGTTATAAATATAGCTAAAATTGTATTTCATTTATGTTGTAAAAGGCTTAAAAACTACTCAAAACACATAAGTTTAAAACGAGTGAAGTAAAACATTTTGTTGATGTATTTTATTTGCGCTTTATTGTGAAAAGCTACAGGAAGTGTGAGCAGTCAGGGTCGAGCTTGATGAGAGAAACCAGACACACCAGAGTGAACAGGTGCTGCAGCTTGGACTGATCATGGGTAATGGACACCTGTTTAATGGTGTTTGGACAACCTGTGGACATGTTCAGCTCCAAGTTTGTTCTGCAGTTTTATGAGTTTTTGCTCATGGAGGCAGTTTAGCATTGAACAGTTAGCATTCGCTAGCTAAGTGAATGCTGCAGGGAACCTAGTTCAGTTTACCAAGGAGACTGCCTCTTCATCATTCTGACCTGGATGTTAAGACTAGCCCCAACTGGAGTGTTTATGGACTGCAGAAGAGTGCCTTTGGATTATATATTTCTTCTTGTTCTACTCCTGGACATCGCTCATTGGAGTTAAACCTGGACCAGCAGATGGATGATTGCACCACCATCTTAGGACGTGGTTTGGTTTTTCCTCTTCACCTGAACTGGGACCAGAGTCTGTGTGTACTGAACTACTAAAGCAGGTACTGCTTTGTTTGATTTATTTGCTCAAAGAGTGTTGGCACCACCTCTGGAACCAGGAACCTGCAGAAAGAACTGGAAACCCTGCACTAAACAACCTCAGCCAACACAAGAATGGCTGCACAGTGACTTGTACAGAAACTGATGGTAAAACTTGATGGTAGTAGCTGACAGTCATTCACAACAGGGATGACCAATTTTGGATTTTTGGCCGATATCCGATATGTTAAAACTTATTTGGCCAATAACTGATACAGATTTTTAATATTCTTTCCTTTGTCAGAACATAGCCCTCTTATTTAGGCTTATTTGTTACAAAAACGGTGCAACCGCTGTAAGAGCTGGTGACATATATTCAGTAACAGCATAGCACTTTAACTTATATTAAATGAAAAGTGTTAAATGTTATTTATTAGCATTAGTCACCTGCGTGCGTCCAGTGAGACCTGGAGGGGTGTGGTTGGGAGGAACGGCCCCCCTGATCTGAACCCGAGGGGTGTTCTGTTGTTGGACTTCTGTGCTCGTCATGGATTGTCAATAATGAACACCTTGTTCAAGCATAAGGGTGTCCATATGTGCTCTTGGCACCAGAACACCCTAGGCCGCAGTTCGATGATCGACTTTGTCATCGTCTCATCTGATCTGCGGCCACATGTCTTGGACACTCAGGTGAAGAGAGGGGCGGAGCTGTCCACTGATCACTACCTGGTGGTGAGTTGGCTCCGATGGTGGGGGAGGATGCCGGTCAGACCTGGCAGACCCAAACGTATTGGGAGGGTTTGCTGGGAATGTCTGGCAGAGTATCCTGTGAGACAGAGTTTTAACTCCCACCTCCGGGAGAACTTCGAACATGTTCCGAGGGAGGTGGGGAACATTGAGTCTGAGTGGACCATGCTTCATGCCTCTATTGTTGAGGCAGCTTACCGGAGCTGCGGCCACAAGGTTGTCGGTGACTGTCGCTGCGGCAACCCTCGAACCCGATGGTGGACACCGTCGGTGAGGGATGCTGTCAGGCTGAAGGAGTCCTATCGGGCCTTTTTGGCCTGTGGGACCCCAGAATCAGCTGATGGGTACCGGCAGTCCAAGCAACATGTGGCTCGGGTGGTC